ATGCTGTCCCCCCTGCTCTATGCTGACCTCCCCACTCTCTGCTGTTCCCCCTGCTCTCTGCTGTTCCCCTGCTCTCTGCTGTCCCCCCTGCAATATGCTGACCCCCCCACTCTCTGCTGTCCCCCCTGCTCTATGCTATCCCCCCTCCGCTATGCTGTTCCCCCCAGTCTCTGCTGTCCCCCCTGCTCTATGCTATCCCCCCTCCGCTATGCTGTTCCCCCCAGTCTCTGCTGTCCCCCCTGCTCTATGCTGACCCCCCCACTCTCTGCTGTCCCCCCTGCTCTCTGCTGTCTCCCCTGCTCTATGCTGTTCCCCCCACTCTCTGCTGTCCCCCCTGCTCTATGATGTCTGTATTACTCATTATTATCAATCCTTGTCATTTCAGACATTTCCAATACAAGGTGTAAAGTCGTCCGCTGACTTATGCTTGTGGTTACACCGACTCTAGATCCTGGCCACCCTAAACACATGGTTCACTTCTTCAGATTGCGGCCACCGTTGACATGTGCCACCTAGGGATGTTTTTTTTTTTTCCCAGTGCTCGTCACAACTAACTGCCAGACGGAAATAAAATCTGATGTGGCAATGACACCAGCCTAGCAACACTCGCCACAGAATGCTGTTGTTGTTGTTGTTTTTTTTTTTTTTTTTTTTTTTTTTTTTTTTTTTTCGCCAATAAGAGGCAAAACCCCCTAGCTCGCCACTGGCTGCATTGCACATTACACACTCGAATTTCGAAGTTACACTACTGACATTTTTTGTTAAATAACACTAATACCCGAGTTTCAGTGCGACGGGGCCAGGCCCCCAAATTGGTTTTGGGTCTGTCTGATTCGTCAGAGTCCACTGCCTTCCCTTGGTATGGGTGTCAGAGTTGCCTCCTTGAAAAAGTCTGAAAAATCAGAGTAGCCTTCAATTTTTTGTCTGACCAATCAGAGTCATAGCCAAACTTTTGTATGAGCCTTTTTTATGGTTCTTCATTAGAGAATGCACTACAATTCACTACATGTACAGAATCAGTCAATATCCTGCATATCTTGCTGCGGTGCTATCGGCATATCATTATCATAATCTACTTTCTCCTTTCCCTTCCTGCTGCTACAAGACTCGGGGAGGGCGTTGCTAAGGGGCTTCCTCTTCTTATAAGCCCGCCAGATGGAGACCACCTCTTGCCAGTCGGGGTCATACTCTAGCTGCGACATGCACATCAGATCTCCTAGCCTAGTATCCTTGAGAGCCACCCGCAGCCAGCTCTTGATGACGTTCTGGCGGGAGAACCCGCGCTCGCACTCGACAGTGCTCAACGGAAGGACAGCCACCGCCACCCACAAGTTGACCAGGTTGGGGTAGCTGTCCCTCCAGTCCTGCGTCTTTAGCATGGCGCTCAGCCCCGCGTAGAATGACCTGTCCGCCTTGGGAAGCGCAGCAAGGACGGGAACGAAGTTGCGGAGCTCGCTCTGGGCTTTGCGCTTGTCTATACCTGATCAGACAAGGGCACACAACACAAGGAAACGGAGAAGGGTTGGGTTATCTGAATCACTACACAGGGTTTATGAAAAGACATGTGTCTTGTTTTATATACATTGCGAGAGGGATACTGAAAGGAGTAAACAAATTTACCTGGCAGAATTTCGTCCCTGTCTTCAGCGCGGTAGATGACCACGAGCGAGTTGAACCACTCGAGGCACTGCGTTCTCCGTGCGTGTCGGTCCCAGTTGGGCGGCCATGTGTCGACGCTGAACAGGCGCGCTCCCAACAGCTGCCGCAGATCGCCTAGGTGCTCGTCGAGGTTGCGGACCAGGCCCTCCGCTAGAGCCATGCACGCCACGACACTCCCATCGTGGTCGCTGGGCCCCGGGTAGTCCTCTTGGGGCTCTTCGTGCAGCTCGAAGGTGAACCGTGAAGGTCGGCCATCGGAGTCAATCCCCTCCACTGTCACTAGCTTGGACTTGCCGGGCCCGTGCTTGGCGAGGAACAGCGTCAATCGATCGTTGGGCCCGCCGGTGAAGTCGTCTCCGCAGTCCACGTAGCGGCTCTCTAGCAGCGAGGTCGTGCGGATGATCTGCGTGTGCACCGTTGTATAGTCCAGCTGGTGGGTAGGGGGGCGAGGAAAGCTAGGGCATCACAGAGGGATGTGTGGTTAAGGGACGAGCGGCAGAGACGAGCAATATCGACATGCATGAAAAGTTGCAAACACAAGCATTAAACATATTTACCTCCCGCTGCTGAAAGACCTTGTTGAGCACGTTCAGCAGCTCGAGCACGTCGGCGAGGAACATCAGGAGGAGCCAGAAGCGGTAACTGGTGACGAGCGCGTACAGCTTGGCGTCGTACTCCTGCAGCATGACCACGATGGCTGGTAGGACCTCGACCAGGCGGATGACAGCATCTCCGCGCGACAGCCAGCGGATGTTGTGGATGCCCTGGAGCTCGAGGTTCGTCGACATGAACACCTCCTGGAGCTCCAAGAATTGTTGATGCCAAGGGTTGGAGCGACCGAGCAGCTCAGCGATCTCGCGAATGATGTTGTCAACCATGCTGAAGACAGGGATCTCCTCAGCAGCAGCCTTTGCCGCCAGCGCCTCTCTGCGTGGGATAAGGGGATGAGATGCAATGTAGGAAGCAAATTAGCGATTGGAATTATAAACAAAACAAGCAAATAAACTGACATGCACACAGCAAATGGTTGACGAACCGATGGGCAATGCAATGGCAAGAGACAAGGTGCGGAACGCGAAGACGAAGGCGGGCCACAAGTCCAGAGCGCGCTCCCATCATGACGGCAGCGCCGTCAGTGCTAATGCCAGAGATGCAGCCGAGGTCGACGCCAATCGCCTGCAGATGGGACAACAAGAGGGCGAGTAGCGATGCCGCATCCGCCTTCTCCACTGTCAACAGAGCCAGGTACTCGGTTACAAGCCGCCCTTCCCGGATGAATGTGGCAAACACGATCATGTGCTTGCCACGGCAGCGATCAGTGCTTTCGTCGAGGCTCAGGCCAATGTAGGGACTCGCCAGCAGGTGTTGGAGTTGAGTCGTCTATAGCCAGGTTGCCGTCGCTTGTGTCAGTTCGCCGAAGCCGTACCTGTTACGTGACACGCACAGTGCAAGTTGTTGTAAGTTTCATATCTAAAGACGAAACATATCAAAGTTCATAGTCACTGGAGTTCTCACCAGTTGTAGTACGTGCCGTAGGCAGACTTCGGGAAGCCCTTGAAACTGCGCGATGAGAGGTATCGCACCAAACGAATCCAAGTTTCCATGGGTTTGTTACACTTGGCGCAGAAGTAGAGGAAGTCGAGCAGCGCGATGACTCGCTCCTTCTCTTCGTCGGCCGCGCGGGGATGCAGGTCGATCCGCTGCTGGTTAGACGCCTGTTGCAGGAGATCGTCCTGCTTGGACATGGCGAGGCGATGCTTCTGCGTTCCGGCGTGCTTCTTGAACGACTGTGTCTGCACGTCCTTTGCTCCCTTGCCCGATTTGCCGGTACGCCCTGCAGGTCCTGCATGCACTGCACATACACTACACTTGAAGGCCGGGAGCCCATCATCAGTTTTCAAAAGCATGAGCCAAGGGAATCTGTCAGACCAGCGAGATTTGAAACGCTCTTGGGCCTCAGCATAGATGTCCTCGTTCGTTCTAGCAGTGGACCTACCGCCAGACGATTCTGGCAAGTCCGCATGTACAAAGGGGCTCGGCACAGGCTCAGGCGGATCCTGGCATGTCGACGTTGAGGCGTACGGCAGAATCACCTGCCTGTACCGGAACCTCTTCGCCGCCGTCACCGACGTCGTGGTGCCGGCGACAGGAGCTGAAGCAGTGGGCAGGGGGCTTGCATCCGCTGACTTCTTGCCCGCTGCATCGGGAACAGGTGCATCGCCATCAGCAGGGGCAGCGTCACCAGGCTTCCTCTGAGGGCTACGATCTGAAGCATCCGACTGCTGCAGGAACTTTAGTGCGGCCGGACCATCGCGGAAATTCTCGGCACACCAGTACTCTTCGTCTTGTTCGTCATAATCTGCCTCGTCTACGTCCTCATCGAGGTCGACCTGCTCCATGGCCTGCAGGGGCGCGGTGGGAAAACAAACGCACTGAAAGAAAACCGAGGGGCTACACGAAGCTTGGCTGAAGTTTTGCTGGAGGGGGGAGAAGCAGGGGTCGTTTTCCCCGTCAGTAAAGAACTGATGGAGAAGGAGGGGGTCTGCCAGCTGCAACTCCATCGCAGTGCGTGAGATGCTGTCCATGCATGAATGAACCAGGCACTCGTCGCGTCAGCATGGGTGCGGTGCCTCGTCTGCTGGGCCTCACCCAGCAAAATTGTTAGGATTAAGGACGGAGTCTAGGTGAACTTAGGAGCTAGAATTACTCAAAATATAAATCCGAAATTCTGGACAGAAAAGTCGTCTTCACAAGAAACGACGTCGACAAACAACTAGCCGTTGGAATGTCGCGAAACTTGGATATGTTGTAGCTCTTAATCTCAGCTACCGTTCCCAATTTGAATCATGTTGATTGATAAAGTATTCGCGACGCTATGGCTTTCGACGCACTAGGGGGTAAGCTGTAGGAGGAGAACTTAACTCAATCTCAAAGGTTCAATCAAAGTTCAAGAATCTCACAAGGAATTAGAAGGAGCAAGAGAAAGGTTGGGATAGAAAGAGAGGGACGAGAGGGAAGGTCCCAAGAGAGTCCCCAACCAAGGAAACCCCATAAGCACAAAGATTCCCTCCCTATAGGAACCTCAACTTTGACCTTTGTCCCTTCCCAACCAATCCATCCAAGTTGGCCACCCTTGCCAACCTAGCTTGGTTGTTCCCAACCAATTTGCAGCTGTTACAGTAGAGTGACAAATTTCCCCAACCCCAAAGGTCCCAACTCCATATAGAGTCACCCCACAACTTCACTTTGTAACCGCCGCAATTGTAACGCAAGCTCATGAACTTTGAATCTTCATAGCTTTCGCGTTCTTGCTCCGATTGAAGCGATTCTTGTTGCGTCGGAAAGATCTTCTCAAGATCTATCATCAAAATACCTGCTCCAACAAAAATAACACAGAACACATTCCCAAACTCCAGAACACACCACACACAAATTCTTTCACATTCAAACCACACATGCAAGTTGAAAACATGGGATGGGAGGCAGACAGAATGTGATAGCATATGATGACATCACACAACAATCTCCCCCTCTGGCTGCCAACCATCATCCACCATACCACATCTCAAGCATGCATACTCAATGCACACTCATCCCAGCAAGCTTCATGCCCTTCCAATGATCCGCCTCCGCCAGACGCTTGGTGAAAATATCTGCTGCCTGCTGATGGGTCTTCACTATCTCCAGCCGCACCTCCTTATCAAGGAGTCTCCTCACCCAATGCCACTTAGGCCTTATGTGTTTTGTCAGCCCATGCAGACAAGCATTCTTGGCGAGCTTCACAGCGGACTCATTGTCACAATGTCCATCTGCCGTATCTTCCATCCCAGGAGTGCAGCTATCGCTAACAGCACCCTCAGTGTTGTTCCTTTCCCCACAGGAGCAAACACCTCATCATAGTCCTTCCCCTTTGTCTGCTGAAACCCCCGTGCCACAAGCCTAGACTTGTAGCGGGTCAGCTCCCCTTCAGGTCCATACTTGTGCCTGTAGATCATCTTGGAAGTGATTGCCTTCTTTCCAGGAGGCAAGTCACACAGGTCCCATGTCTCGTTTTCAATCAGGGACCCGAACTCCTCATCCTCACTCGCCTTCCACTTCTCCCCATTTGGTCCATTCAAGGCCTCCTCTCGAGTCTTGGGCTCAGGGATTGGTGCCCAGTAGCAGTGAGCGATCTCATCTTCCTCAATCTGCTCAACCACACTCCCAGCCTGCACCACATTTGGCTTGCCTCTTCCCCCATAGGTCAGCCTCACCGGAGGGCGCACATCCCTCCTAGGTCGCTCAGGCGGGTGTGGAACTCGAGATGGAGACTCATGCTGCTGCTGCTGCTGCTGCTCTACTTCAGCTGCTCCCCCTTCCTCAGTCACCCCAGACATCTCCTCCTCTGACACTGCAACCTCCACCTGTCTTGAAGGCTGCTGCACCTCATCTGCCTCCACAATGAGCGGTGTAGATGGAAGCTTCTGTTGCTGCTGCTTCCATTCCTTGTAGTACAGGGACTCAAGAAACTTCACATCCCTTGACAGTGTCAACTTCTGGGTGGTCAAGTCCCATAGCAGCCACCCCTTGTGATCCTTTGCAATCCCCAAGTGCACACCCCATCTTCCAGAAGCCTCCAACTTCCCCCTTTTCTCCTTAGGCACATGAAACACCACCATGCACCCAAATGCCCTCAGCATGTTCACAGTTGGAGCACTCCCATACCACTTGACATATGGGATCCACTCCTTATCTCCAACTGTAGCCAGCACCCTGTTCTTCACAAGGGCGACCTGCCTCAGTGCAGACACCCAAAACGGATCAGGCAGCCCTGCACGCCCAAGGAGAGTGCGTGCCCCCTCCTGCAGGGTCCTGTTGAACCTCTCAGCCACGCCATTCTGCTGCGGGTTGTAGGGCACTGTCAGTTGATGCTGGATCCCCTTCCTCTTCAACTCCCCCTCAAAATCAGCTCCAATGAACTCCCCACCATTGTCACTGCGGATCACCTTCACCTTGTGTCCGCATTCCCTCTGAGCTCTAGGCATCCACTCCTTAAGGACAGCCGCTGCCACCTCCCCCTTGCTCTTCAAAGGGTAAACCCACACTGCCCGAGTGTGGTCATCCACAATTGTCAAGAAATAGCGGCTGCCTGAGAGGGAAGGGGCTCTTGTGGGCCCCACCACATCCATATGCACAAGTGCAAGTGGGGTCTTGGCTGGTCCTGTAGTGCTGTTGAAGGGGAACTTGGAGAACTTGGTCTCCAAGCATGTAGGGCAGCTCCCAATCTCCTTCACTCCCCCTTTCACCTCCAAGCCCTTCAGGCTCCCATCCTTCACCAACTTCTGCAGCATAGGGAAGTTCACATGACACAGCCTCTCATGCCATGTCTCCCAATCGGCCTCTCCACTCCTTGGTGAAGCCTTAGCCCATGCCGCACTCGCATCCACACCAGCAAGCACCTCACCATGTGTCTGCTGCTTCTGCACTTTCTTGACTGCTTCCAGCACCCCATCAGTTGGTGCAGTTGCATCTCCTCCTGCTGTTGCCTTTGCCACTGCTGCCGTTGCTGCTGTTGGAGTCTTCCCATTCCAAGGGATGATGGGCAGCTGCCACAGGTCCTTGATGCAGCTGGTCTCCTCTTCCAGACTCCACAGCACCTTCTTCCCAAGCTTAGCACGGCAGCTGGTTGGTCCAAAGGTCACTTCGGCCTTACTCTTCTGCAGCCGCCGCACAGAGAGAAGGTTAGCAGACAAGCCTTTAACCAGCAGAACATTCCCAAGCCCCACAAGCTCCCCATTAGCTCCCTTAACCTTGGCATTCCCAACACCAATCACGGGGAGCAAAGCACCTGACGCTGCTGCCACATACTTAATCTTCCCAGGGGGTTTTACCTCATCAAGCAAATCTGCCCGTGGGGTCATGTGACTGGTGCAACCTGAATCAATCACCCAGTGCGTGAGAGGGTGCATCACAACCTTTCCCACAGATCCCACATCACCCTCATGCCCATGCACATCCTCAACCATGAGATACATCCCAGGATAGGCGTTACCTTGTGCACCTTCACCTTGTGCACCTGAGCCTTGCACAGCGCCACCTTGTGCGCGTTCACCACTTGGCGGCTTCATGCCTGGAGGTGACCATCCCTCCAGCCTGCTGAAGCACTTGAACCAAGGATGCCCGACCTTCTTGCAGTACCAGCAGGTGCCCTCCATTCTGGTACTCCCCCTGCCACTGGAGCTCCCATGCCCCTCATTATAGTCACCTCGGCCTCTACCTCTGCCAAAGCTTCTCCCACGGCCTCGGCCTTTCCAACCCCCTCTTCCTCTGCCGCGCCCTGCAGCTCCATACCCCTCAGCAGTCTTAGTGGCAGCACCGCCTCCCACATGGCGTCTGCGGAAGTCCTCCTGCAGAATCTGCTGCCTTAGCCACTCAGGTGTCCATTGATCTTGCTGAGAGTTGAGGGTGGGGATGAGGTTATCCCACGAGTTGTCCAACACCGAGATGATCTTGGTGCACTGCTGCAGCTGAGATACACTGCTGCCCGCTGCTGCCATCCTTGCATAGGTGTCCTTGATCTTGTCAAGGACCGGCTTCACATCGTCCCCTGGTCGCATGGAGATGGCAGCAAGTTCCTTCTCGAGCACGATCACCATCGGGAGAGTGTTGGGCTGAATCACATCGCGTAGTAGTTTCCACGCCCTTGGACCCGAATCATCCGCTTCCACAAGATCCTTGATGTGCTCGAACATCTCCTTGTTGACCGATTGAAGGATGAGGTCGAAAAGCACCGCGCTTTTCTCAATCCACCGTTCGCGTGCTTCGCCTTCTTCCGGCATCTTCTCTTCCCCAACAGCAATCTTCAGTAGCTTGTAGCGTTTGAAGGCACTCCTCATCCGTCCGCTCCATTCCTCATAGTTGGAGCCATCCAAAGCTTCAACTTTTGATGGCGGCGGCTCACTTGTCTTCTCAGCTACAGCTCCTCTTCCATTAGCATCTCCTCCTCTCTCATTCATCTTCTCCTTGAGAAATGACGAATTTCAGCCCCCCTTTGCTGTCCACACTCAGCTCCCTCGATATTTTCACAAGTGTCGGCGTCCACGAAATTTCGGCAGAGTTTCCCTTAGCGGAAGACACATCCAACCTTTAGAACACCACTTAGGCACACCCACAGGCCATGGTGGGTCTAGAAGGGTCTTCACACTTCTGTAGACTCCTCTCAACGTCCTTAATACAGCTCTGATACCACTTGTTAGGATTAAGGACGGAGTCTAGGTGAACTTAGGAGCTAGAATTACTCAAAATATAAATCCGAAATTCTGGACAGAAAAGTCGTCTTCACAAGAAACGACGTCGACAAACAACTAGCCGTTGGAATGTCGCGAAACTTGGATATGTTGTAGCTCTTAATCTCAGCTACCGTTCCCAATTTGAATCATGTTGATTGATAAAGTATTCGCGACGCTATGGCTTTCGACGCACTAGGGGGTAAGCTGTAGGAGGAGAACTTAACTCAATCTCAAAGGTTCAATCAAAGTTCAAGAATCTCACAAGGAATTAGAAGGAGCAAGAGAAAGGTTGGGATAGAAAGAGAGGGACGAGAGGGAAGGTCCCAAGAGAGTCCCCAACCAAGGAAACCCCATAAGCACAAAGATTCCCTCCCTATAGGAACCTCAACTTTGACCTTTGTCCCTTCCCAACCAATCCATCCAAGTTGGCCACCCTTGCCAACCTAGCTTGGTTGTTCCCAACCAATTTGCAGCTGTTACAGTAGAGTGACAAATTTCCCCAACCCCAAAGGTCCCAACTCCATATAGAGTCACCCCACAACTTCACTTTGTAACCGCCGCAATTGTAACGCAAGCTCATGAACTTTGAATCTTCATAGCTTTCGCGTTCTTGCTCCGATTGAAGCGATTCTTGTTGCGTCGGAAAGATCTTCTCAAGATCTATCATCAAAATACCTGCTCCAACAAAAATAACACAGAACACATTCCCAAACTCCAGAACACACCACACACAAATTCTTTCACATTCAAACCACACATGCAAGTTGAAAACATGGGATGGGAGGCAGACAGAATGTGATAGCATATGATGACATCACACAACAAAAATGCCTCAGGATTGGCGAAAACAACCGTGTTTTGGTCAAGGACCAATCGGCTGCTCGGGCTATCTCTGTGCTGGCTCCATCGCACAAAATTTGCCCGCCCGACGGCTCGGGCCGCGCCAGCGCAAATGTAATTCTGGCGTGATTGACGGTGACGACAGAAGTACCAACGCAAATCTCGCAACCCCCCTAAAATAACGGTATTACAGGAATCAGAGACCCCCCCCCATACAAGGATGAAGCATCAGAGTACACTTGTCAAATAAGTCTGAAAAATCAGAGTAGGTACATAAAACTTCTCTGGAAAATCAGAGTAACATAGAAAAAAAAGTCTTTGGAATCAGAGTACACCCCAAAAAAAACTCTGAAAAAAGTCTGAATCAGAATAAAAAGTCTGCAATTTGGGGGCCTGGACGGGGCACTTTCTGACCGAGAAAGATTAAGGTGAGCGGCCTAGCTCTGCCCCGGTCCTGTACGCTGACAACAGGGCCATGAATCCATGATCCTCCTGTGTCAGGAGCCTCGACTGGAGGGCAGAACGAAGCACATCCAGCTGCGGTACTTCCTCCTGCGCAAGCTACAACACTGCCGCCAGGCCCGCATAGTACACTTGTCCCTCCGGTGCTAACACAACTGATAATTTTATTAAGGCGCTTGTGTCGTGGCACTGGGATAACCCTGTCGATCCTCTCTCTATCTCTAGGGAGGAAACTGGGGAGGCTTTCCTCGGGAAAGGTGGATATATGGAGGCTAACCCTCCTGATGATATCCCTTCTTGTCGTAGTGGTCAGGACTGGTGACTTTCAAACTTGGTATCAGAGCCATCCGGGGTTCAACTCGCTATCCCAGCGGAGGGGTGTGTCGTGGCACTGGGATAACCTGTTAAATTATCTATTTTGTTATATACTTGGTAGGCTTGGTAGGTATTACTGAAACATACTGTAGAAGGTACAACCCCCCTCCTTGTATGCCTCTCTCTTCTATTATCGACCCCTTTTCTCTCATCAACTTTCCTAGCCAAAAACCTCTCGCCATTTCTATGGCTTCCCTCCTACTGAGATCCTAGCTTACTTTAACATGGTTTCAGAGCAGGCCCGTTTCGCTCGGGCCTTCTCCTCACGCTTCCGCAGCGTACTCCCCCCCCCCGTCACGCCGCGCTGGCCCCGTCATGCCGCGCTGGCCCCGTCACTCCGCGCTGGCCCCGTCACGCCGTGCTGGCCCCGTCACGCCGCGATGGCCCCGTCCCTCCGCGCCGGCCCTGTCACGCCGCGCCGGCCCCGTCACGTCGTCGTGCCTCAGTTCCTCAGTGTCGCCGTCCCGCCACGCCGCCGTGCCAAGGTGCCGCCGCGCCGACGTGCCGCTGGACTGCCGTGCCGCCATGCCGTCGTGCTGCCGTGGCGGCTTCGCCACACCAGCGCATGGACAGCTGCGGCCAGCGCCCTGTCCTAGGCGCCAGTCGTAACGCCCTCATGCCAGTAAGCGTCATGCTAGCGATGGTGCCTCGCTGAAGATTTGCACCCCCCCCCCCCCCTCCTTCACCCATAGCCGTTATGAGATTGGCCATGCCGCCGAGAGGGCGAGGGCCGCTGCTGCCGCCTCTGACGTTGAAGCCGCCGCCGCCGCCGCTGTTGCCGCTGGCCAGTTGCCGCCGCACACCGCCGCCGTCGCTCTCGTCACCGCTATGCCTACTGCCATTGCCATCTCCTGGGCCATGGATATTCCGGAGTCATCGCGGCTGCTGCTGGAAATGGGGGTGCTAGGTTAGGGGGTGTGGGAGTGTGTGGGTTCTTAAACTACCAAACCTAGGGGGTGTGTTAAATTATATATTTTATTGTATAATTGGTAGGCTTGGTAGGTGTTAATGAAACCTACTGTAGAGGGTACAACCCCCCTCCTTGTATGCCTCTCTCTTCTATTCTCGACCCCTTTTCTCTCATCAACTTTCCTAGCCTAAAACCTCTCGCAATTTCTATGGCTTCCCTCCTACCTAGATCCTAGCTTACTTTAACATAATTCTGTCGATCCTCTCTCTATCTCTAAGGAGGGTACCGTAATCCCCCGGATATAGGCGCATAGGGGCTTATAGGGGATACCTAAGAAAAGCAGCATGCCCCTTTAATCGAATAAAATTTATAAGCGCAGGGCTTATGATAAGTTACTTATGGAAAAAAATATTTGAATGCATGAAAATGTAGCTCCTGAAAAATGTGATTTTTCGGACGACTCACAAATGGGGGTCGTGTTGATAAATCATGAGAAATTGTGTCTCGAATATTCCGTCAGCGCTGCTACTGCAAAGTTGCCTAGCAGTCGAATACAAGGCGAGAACGGCGGTTTGCTGTGCCAGCAACACCATGGCTGCGGTCGTAAGGGTGCTGGCACATGCATATCCGCTCCAGACAGGCAAGGTTTGGGTGAGATGCATTGAATCTGGCAAGGCATCGACCTTTCCAGAAAGTGAGCACACCCAGTAGAAGGACAGAGTGGCAACGATTCCCTTGCCACCTGTCCTCTACGAACCTATTTCTACTGCTGGCAGCTTTACTCGTAGAGGAAAACGAGCCGCCAACCAAGAGGGGGTCTGGCTCACCCCTCATATTGTTCATTATTTCAGCGAGCAATCACACTTCTGAGCCCCACCTTAGCTAGGAGAGCCATGGCTGGCCTGCCTCTGTTGGCCATGGCTGTGCTTTTTGGTAGACCTGGTGAGACTACCCGCCTTAGACGGATAGGCGTGTCATGCGTCTATACCTCACCTCCCCCCCCTACCCCTTGGTCGCCTCCCGCGTCGCCTACACCTCCACATAATCACAAGCCTTTCTCCCCGCAAAAAATAAACGGCAGGCTGGTTCTCACTCCTTCAACCCCGCCGACCAATAGTCAGATAGTGGATTTTGACGAGCAACCCAACGTGCCTGACAACGAGCAAGCCGCTAGCGTTGCTCACGACGCTCACGCAACAGACAACGCAAACTGCACGGACGCTGCAGACTTCACCAACGACCAGCACAGCGCCGGCTACGCCGGTGGCAAGGGCGCCGCTGCCGAGTTTGCCGACGGTACGCGCGCCGCTGACGACGCTGACAATACGCACGCTTCCGCCAACGCTGATGGCGAAAACCCCACCAATGGCGCTGACAACACGCACGACACTGAGTCTGCTGACGACACCCATGCCACTGTCAACGAGGATTCCGGAGCCTTGCCTCACCGCTGGGGAAGGGCTGAAGACGCCGGCCCTAATGACTGGGACGAACCTGGCAACGTCGAAGTGGGGGAAGCTGAGTTTTGGGCGCGTGATGGACTCCCCGAGGTGCTGCCGATCCCTACGTTCCCGCCCGCTAAGAAGAAGAAGCCCCATCCTTCTTCCTAAAATTGCGATAAGCACCCTCCCTCTCCGCGGAATTGACAGACCCGCCGACAACGATATTCCTACACAGCCAAGGAGAAGGTGCACTGGATAGCGCGCCTCAGAGCAGTAAAATGCGTCAACAAAGTGTCGAGGGAGTCGGGAATCTCGCGAAAACAGCTCGCAACATGGGTGACGAGAGAGCCAGTGCTGAAAGAAGCCACACCATGTCGGAAACGGCTTCACGGGCACGGCCGAAGCTCCTGGTACGAAGACATGGAGCTTGAAGTCTACTCCCGAGTTCTTTCTGAGCGCGCCAAGGGACACGCTGTTCCCGTCTGCCGACTTCAAACATGGTCGCGGGATCTGATGCATCAGCTCCACCCAACGTCTCCCTGGAAGGGCTCCTACCATTGGACAGAGAGATTCCGCCGTCGGTGGAACCTCTCAGTTCGAGCAAAAACCAAAGTCGGTCAGAGACTCTCCGAGTGTAAGGGACAGTTGCTTTTGCTCCTATTCCGTCGTATTCCATTTACTGCCTTTACCATGGTGCAGTTTTCCATGCAAATTATTGGCTTCTTATATTGATTTCTCTTCCTTTCTCTTGTTCCTTACAACAGAGAACGAAAAGAAGGTGCTGAAATTCTGGCGCTTTGTCAGAGACTCGCGTCGACACTACAACATCGACCTTCAGTGGATCATCAACGCCAACCAAACACCACTGTGGCTGGAGATGCCGGCGGATCACACGGTGGACGAAATCGACACGAATTCGGTGACAATCCGCAACGCTGGTTACCAAAAAGAAAGGGTAACCGTCATTTTGGCCTGCACGGTGACTGGCGAGAAGTTAAAGCCGTGGGTATTCTTTAAGCGACAAACAGTACTGAAGGGAAATTTCCCGTCAGGTCAGTTTTTCGTAAGACGCTTTAGGAGATTATGCTAACTAGGACTTGCGCTATTTTCTTTAAGCACGGTTTTTGTTCCATCCTGTTGCTATTGCCACATGGCTCTCCTAGTCATGACTGAGTCCTTTTTTCTTTCTTTCTTTCTTTGTTCTTGTTTTTTCCCATCTGCTGCAGAGGTCAGGATTGCCGCCCAACCGAACGGCTGGATGGATGCGGATGGCGTACTGGAGTGGCTCGAGGAGACGGTCAAACCCTTC